AGAACACCCTATGTGCAGCTGAGAGGAATGTGTATTCTGATGTTGTTTGGTGAAGACTGTAGAGGTCTACTAAGTCCATTTGTTCACAAGTTTGGTTCAGTTCTGTTATTTCTTTGCTGATTTTTTATCTAGTTGATCTATCTCTTTGTGATAATGGGGTGATAAAGTCCCCTGTTACAATAATGGTATTGCTTATTTGATTTTTCATGTCTATTAATATTTGTCTTATATAGTTGGGTGCTCCTGTATTTGTTGTGTGTGTATTTATGATTGTTGTTTCTTCCTCTTGCAGTTTTCCCTTAACAAGTATGTAGTGACCTTCTTTATCTCTGTTGACCATTCTTGGTTTGAAGTTCACTTTGTCTGCAAACAGAATAGCTACTCCTGTTTTTTTCTGTGTTTCTGTCACATGGAGTATTGTTTTCCATCCTTGACTTTCAGTCTATGAATTTTCTTTTGAGTTAATGTGTTTCTTGTATGCATCATATTGTTGGATTTTGTTTCTTGCTCCACTCTGCCAGTTTATTTCTTTTGATTGTTGAATTGAGGCTATTTATACTAATAGTTATAACTGATATGTATTGACTTATCTTTGTCATATTATCTTCCTGCTGTTGGTTCCCTACTTTTCCCCTGTGTTTAATTGTTTTCCCTGCCTGGTGGTTTCTTTCTGTTGTTCTTGTAATTGTGGTCATTTTTATCTCTTTCTAGAATATCTTTCAGTACTCTTTGTAGGGTTGGTTTGGTGGACATGAATTTCTTCAATTGTTCTTTGTCATGGAAGTATCTTATTTCTCCATTAATTTTGAAGGATAGTTTTGCAGGATACATCAATCTGAATTGGAAGCTGCTTTCTTTCAGGACCTGAAATACTTCATTCCAAGCTCTTTTTGATTTGATGGTTTGTGTTGAGACATTTGCCATAATTCTGATGGGCTTTCCTTTATAGATGACCTGTTTCTTTTCTCTAACAGCTTTTAATGTTCTGTTCTTGTGCTGAATTTCTGGGATCTTGATTATTATATGTCTGAGTATAGATTTATTTGTGTTATGGCTAATTGGAGTTCTGTATGCCTCACTTGCATGTATGTCAGATTCTTTTCCCATTCTTGGAAAATTTTCTGCTATTACTTCTGCAAATAGTATTTTTATGTTATTTGTGTTGACTTCTGATTTTTTCAATGACATCTGTCTGTCCTACATTATTTTTCTTTGCATCATCTTGCAGCTGTTGAATTGTTATTTTTTGGTTGCTTATTTTTTTAAGAAATCTTTTCTTTCATGATCTGTAGCTGCAATGCTGTCTTCAAGGTCTGAAAGTCTATCTTCAGTTTCATTGAAGCAGTTTTTCCAGCTTTCAATGGAATTTTTAATTTCCTGGATATCTCTCTGAATCTATTTCATGCATTCTAATTCTTTCTTATATTGTTCAGTCAAGGTTTCCATCATTTTTCTATGGTCCTTTTTAATCTATGTCTTCCTTGAATATCCTAGCAATTATTTTATTATGGTTGTCATTTCTTTTTTGCCTGAGAGATTATTTCTGATTTGATTTCCTCTATAGCCTCATGGAATTGTTTCTTTACTTCAGTTGCTATCATTTCAGAAATTTCAGGTGTGTGAGTTCCAATTTATTCTATGTTGATTTCTCCTGGACTTGTTCTGGGTGGGCTGGAGGTCTGAGTTTGCATTTTGTTCTTTGCCTTGACGTTTTCTATTTCAAAAAAAAAATTTTAATTTAATTTTCTGTGATGATTGTTGTGAGTTTTGGTAGTAGGTAGCTATATCACTAGTTTCAAGACCTCTCTAGGAAAAGTCTGTTCTTCAGAGATATCTTCTGTGTGTAGGATGTTTTTGGTTTGTGTCTGTGCCAAGATCCTACCTTCTCAGTTAATTGAGAGTGGAATGTTGGTTTCCATTTGGCTCTGTCCTCAGTTTTTAGGTGTTTCACTGTGGTGAAGTTATTACCCCAGAGCTTCCCAATATTGTTCCCCAAGGGAGAAAGACTGATTACAACAGATATGACATCCTAGCTACAATAGTACAATTAATAATAGTGATAGCATCAAGCACAGTTTAGAAATTGAGAGCCTGTGTGTAACTATTGATTTTGTACTTTAGACCATAAGAGCAAGGTCTGTAGTTACATAACAGGACCAATTGTAAATTAGGAATTTGTATGCCAAGTGTTTCCCTTTGTTAGAGTAGATTTACCATGGGTTCCTCCAGGTGAGCCAGTTGCCGAGTTCCCAGGTGCTTCCCACACTGGCTGCCTGTCCCACAGTGCAGGGAAATGGGACAGGCACTTGGATTCCTCCAGACCAAGGTTCTTATGGAGGTGGGAAGGCGATGGGTGGAGTTTCTCCCCTCCTGTGAAGCTCATAGAGGTTCCTGTGATGGCGGAGAGCTCCATTTTCTGATATTCCCTTCAATCTCCTTTCTCAGAGTACTGTAGGGTTTTTTTGGTGCCAGGAATTGAACTCAGGACCTTGCACTTACCAGACAGGTGCTTGTGCAACTGAGTTATATCCCCAGCTTCCGTAGTTTTCAATGTAGAGGTCTTTTACATCCTTTATTAGATTGATATCTAGGTATTTTGGGTTTTTTGGATGCTATTCTGAAACGTGTTGTTTCCCTAATTTCTCTCTCAGTGAATTTGTTATTCATGTACAGGATCTGATTTATTCTTACAGCTCATTTAAACCAGAAATGTATCCTATAGCCTCCACAGGAATGCTTCCTGGGACCTAACCTTGGAGGTTTTTTGCTCTTTTCTACTGGGAATTATTAGATTTGGGGTTTGACATAATATTCTTGGGCATGGAATCTCCCTTACGCTGGTTTTTCAGGTATTGCTACTTTTATGAGCATCTCTGTGAGAAAGGAGAGACTGAACTCCCTGCTCTCACCCTGCACCCCATTACTAGCAGGGCACCATGCAAGAACTTAGTGACATTTCAGTAACTTGGTGGCCCTGGCTTTTCCACAGGCCCCACTTCTTGTTCCTGTAGTTGTGTCTTTGGAGGTTGATTTCTGCCTGGACAAGATGGCATCGTCTTTCTTTTCTGACTTTGGCCTTATGTGGTACCTAGAGGAGCTCAAAAAGAAGGAGTTCATGAAGTTCAAGGAGCTCCTCAAGGAGGAGACATCACACCTCGGGCTCAAGCAGATCCCCTGGGCTGAAGTGAAGAAGGCATCACGGGAAGAACTTGCCTGCCTACTGCTCAAGCATTATGAGGAGGAGCAGGCCTGGGATGTGACCTTCAGGGTCTTCCAGAGGATCGACAGGAGGGATCTCTGTGAGAGGGCCATAAGGGAGAGCACTGGTACGTGGGGCCATGGGGGGATGTGGCTGCTCGCAGTGAGGCTGGTGTCAGGGCTGGCAGACACCACAAGCCTGCGCTCTACAGGGTCAGAGTCAGAATGTACGAGGGGGAGTCTGTCCTTTGTGGAGGAGACAGCGTCATGCAGACGTGGTGGCCTGTGTGGTGCAACAGGTGGGGGCCCTGGCCTCCCACCTGTCTCTCCATCTGGGTCCTCAGTCATTTTGCTTCAGGCTGAGATTTGGCCTGGTAGCTATAGCCAGTGAGCCCTTCTGTAGACTGCAGGGACCTGAGGTTCATGGGTGTAGTCATACAGGTGCTCAAACAGCCATGAGATGCAGTGCTGAACAAGATTTTTTAGTCATCGTCATGTGTGTGTGTATTTAATATTTGACAAGCAAATGTTTATGCCACAGAGGCCATGATCTAAAGGCATTACAGCTCATGCCTTGCACTGGTATTTGTCCTGGTTAAAGGCCTTTCTCTTACTTTGCACGGTTAAGCTATGGAGGGCAGGAGACAGCTCTTCTGAATTAGTGTTAGGTCCTCTTCTTTGTCCTGCCATGATGTGCCCAGGTGTGGCTCTCTTGGCACGCAGGCTGCTTTGATCACAAGGCTCCTCAGCTCCCAGCTGCAGCCTTTATCGTCTAAGTGTTCCCTCTCCTTCCCAGCCTCCTCCGCCCGCCAGTTGTACAGAGCAGCCTTTACACTGTGTCTCACCCAGCTCTCTTGCTCTTGTCTGCATTTCTTGCCCTTTTGCTGCTGTGCTGTAGTCTGGGCGTCCATTTCTGACAGTTTTCTTATGCCTAGCCTCCTATCCAGCTGTTTCTGGTGGTGCCATCTCAGTCACCGCTGTGCAGCCCTGTGGGTACGGGAGGGCGGTTGTACAAGGCGCCACAGGCAAGGTGGCAGGGTGCTGATGGACCCACTCCAAGCCACACTTTACAGGTCCTGGGGAGACACGTCTGAAGGTGAAGCGGTGAGGGCCGGAGCGTATAGGCCTGAGAGTTTAACTGATTTGTTGTGGTCTCTTCTTCTTGTGCTCACTGACCCAGGACACTCAAAACTGTATCAGGCTCATGTGAGGGAGAAATACAGCAATATCTTGGCCAAGAAATCCATCGCCACGCTCCACCAAAACCTTGATGAGACTATCACCCAGGAAGAAATCAAATCTCTGGAACTCCTCTTCACACCCCAGAAGCCTGGGAAGCAGGCCCATGCTGTGCTCCTGAAAGGAAACCAAGGAGTTGGGAAAACAACTTTCCTGATCAAGTTCATGCTGGCCTGGTCCAAGGGCCTCATCTACAAGGACAGGTTCTCCTATGTCTTCTACTTTTGCTGCCAGGAATTGAAGCAGCTGCCAGTGACAAGCTTAGCAGAACTGATCACCAGCACCTGGCCTAGCACCTCTGCCCCCGTGAGTGAGATCCTGGCCCACCCTGAGAAGGTCTTGTTCATGGTGGACAGCTTTGAAATGCTGGGGAGCGACCTTGGCGAGCCCGAGGGTGAGCTGTGCAGGGACTGGGTGGAGGTGCGGCCGCCCCAGCTGCTGCTGAGCAGTTTGCTGAGGCGGAGGATGGTCCCGGAGTGCTCCCTGCTTATCACGGTCGACATCAAGGCCAGGCAGAGCCTGGAGGACAGGCTGCGGGACCTTGACGTTAGGGTGCTCGGGGGCTTCCGGGAGAGTGACATCAAGCTCTACATCTACGGTATGTTTCAAGATTTGCACAGAGCCGCAGAGGCCTTCAGCCTCATACAAAGCAAGGAGTGGTTCCTCGCGCTGTGCCGGTTCCCTGTGCTCTGCTGCCTGGCAGGCACCGCCCTGAAGCATGAGATGGACGAAGGCAAAGATGTGGCCCGTACCTTCCAGCGGACCACCTCTCTGTACACCTCCTTCCTTTTTAACCTGTTCACGCCCAGGACCACCGACAGCCCCAGCTGGCAGGGCCAGGCCCAGCTGCAGACCCTGTGCTCCCTAGCTGCCCAGGGCATGTGGACCAACTGCTTCGTGTTCTGGGAGAAGGACCTCAGGAGAAACGGTATTGAGGGCTCTGATGTCCCTGCCCTGCTGGAGCTCGGGATCCTCTTACGGTGCAGGGGATCTGAGCCCTCGTACAAGTTCCTGCACCCGTCCATCCAGGAGTTCTGCGCCGCCCTGTTCTACCTGCTCAAGAGCCCCGGCCACCACCCGCACCCTGCCGTGCAGGGCACACAGGACCTTCTAGTGACCTTCCTAGAGAAGTCCAGAGCATACTGGGTGTTTCTGGGGTGTTTCCTGTTTGGCCTCTTGCATGAAAGGGAGCGGCAGAAGCTGGATGCGTTTTTTGGCTTTCAGCTGTCCAGTGAGGTGAAGCAGCAAGTGTATCAGTACCTGCAAAGCCTGAGTACTGTCAGAAACCTCCACGAAAGGATCGTCTTCCTGGCCTTGTTCTACTGTCTGTTCGAGATGCAGGAGGAGACCTTCGTTAGCCAGGCAATGAACTTGATGCAAGAGCTTACCTTCACTATGTCAGGAAAGCTGGACTTGGAGGTTGCCGCCTACTGCCTAAAGCACTGTTCCAAGCTGAGGCAGCTCAGCATTTCAATCCAAGGTATCTTCCAGGAAGAAGAGAAAGGACACAACTTGCTGTAAGTCCACCTGCTGACCCTCCTCTTCCTGCCACTGCTCCTTTTGTCTTTCATCTCCTCCTTCTCCTCCTTCTCCTCTTCTGCCTTCTCTTCCTCCCCCTCCTTCTCCTCCTCCTCCTCCTCCTTCTCTTCCTCTGCCTTCTCCTCCTCCTTCCCCTTCTTCTCCTTCTCCTCCTTTTCTGTACTAGGGAATTAAACCCAAGGTGTTTGCACTGAACTACATTCCAGACTATTTTATTTTATATATGCACTTTTAAAATTTTGAATCTAGGTCTAAGTGTTCCCAGGTAGGCTCAAAATTGTGCTCCTCCTGCCTCAGCCTGCCAGGGTTTGGGGCCGGCCATGCACCATCATTGCACCCCACTCTGTGACTTTCTTCTCTTTTCCTTTCCAGGATCTGTCCACACACTCTGGTGTTGCTGAGGGTGGGGTCAGTATCTGATTGGTGCTTGAAATCTTGCCTATCCAGGCAAGGCACCAGGTCAAGCCCTGAACGGACTCTTTGTTTCTAAGTTATGTCATTTTGTCTTGTGAAAGTTTATTATTGTAATTCTTCCTATTTATGGAGTAGGTGCAGTGACTCACTGTATGTGTACAGTGCCTAATCTGAATTGAGCCTCACGGAGACCGTGACCTTGTCCCTTGACCTTTTCCTTGAGATGCACCCTTTACTATTAGCTGCAGCATAACAGCCACACTGCAAGGGTGGAGCCCAGCCAGCCCTGTGCCATGGCCCTGAGCTCTCTGCACGCAGCCCGAAGTACCCGTGGCTGGCGTTTCTGTCCCTCACCTGTACACACCTTGGACTCTTTCTTGACCTATCCGGTGCAAATTATCTTTTCGGATTTGCTCTAAACTTTCCACAGACCCAGAGTCATTTCCTACTCAGAGGTGCCATGTGTGGTAGATTCTACCACGGCTGGGTTACAGGGGAGGATGTGGGCAGAGAGGCCCAGCAAGGCGGCCAAGACTACAGAACGGAAAGGGCCATAGTGAGTGTGAAGCGCAGAAGCTTTGCCCACCCCTGGGCTGCGCGGCGCTGGCACGGTTGAGATGAGGCAGTGGCCTGATGGCCTGGCTGACGGCCCTGCGGCCTCCCTTTTGGGGGCCCTGGTCTGCGCACTGCAGGAGGCTTGGAGGCCTCCCTAGCCTGCACCTGCCAGGTGTCCATGCACCTGTCCCTCACAGGGCGACCGCCAGAACCGGCTGCAGACGTGGTGGGGGCTGGTGAGACCTACGGATGGGGGGGAGCTCGCCTGCCGGATCCCATTCTCCCGCCCGATGGGCCCCAGCACCGTCTCCCCGGGAGCACATGGAGCACACGCAGACACTGCCTAGACTTGCCTTTCTTCTTCCCACACAGGTCAAACGCTGACCTCGTCTGTTGGCACCAGGTGTGCTCCGTCCTCACGACCAACAAGCACCTCCGCGTGCTGCAGATAAAGGACAGCGTCCTCAGCGACTGCGCCACGGGCACTCTGCTTAACCAGCTGAGGCAGCCCAACTGTCTCGTCGAGAATCTTATGTAAGTTGGAAGTCAAGGTCGCCAGACCTGGGCTTACCTTGGAAGCGGTGCGTTAGTCTCGCCTCTAACCCTGGTCCCGACCCACTGCATATTATCCGGAGACTTGCAATCCCGAGCAGACTCCTCCCAACCGGCAGTGGTCCATCACCCTTGGTGGTGGGGAGGCCCCGTGCATGGGAGGGTGTTCGGGAGCACCCAGGGGTTCTGACGTCCAGGTGCCAGTGGCGTGCTCGGGTTGGGACAGCCAGCACTGCTCCTGAACGTTCCCACGTGGGAGGAAAGTCGCCCAGCTGAGAGCCCCTGCGCTATACAACTGGGCTGTGAAATCAGAGAGAAGTTACCGGTGGGTCAGCGGAGACGGCCAAAGATGGGTTCTCGGCCATACTTCCAGGCTTTCTTGATGAAACTCACTCGGTTTTTCTGGTTTTGCAGGATAAACAATGCTCGCTTACACTGTGACAGCTGGCTTCTCTTTGAGGTGTTCATTCACAACCCCAACGTGAAATACTTGAGCCTCAACAACACTGACCTGTGCCGTGATGCCGTGAGGAACCTCTGCAGCGTGCTGAGCCACCCCACCTGCGGCTTGGAGAACCTGGAGTGAGTGTCCTGCCCCCGGCCTCGCGGCCACCCTGCTGGGCCGCACGGCTTGGTGTGTGCTCTTCTGACCTACTTCCCATTATTCGTGTGCAAACTTACCCTCAGAATAAACAGAGAGCACAATAGGAAGATGGTTTTAAACCAGCACAGCCGCCTCGGCAAACCATCCGGCTCCATTCAGCTTTCACAGATTCTGGTTCGGACCCAACCCCAGAATGCCACCCTAGGGTATCGGTCAGAGAGCTGCAGGGCACTGTTGGCTGAAAGACAGGTGCTCAAACAGTCCTGGCAGGGTTCAGAATACCTGAAAAATGGGAATTCGCACGGATAGCGTAAGTCAGGTAAGAAATGTGGCTGTGTTGTCACAGTCCCCGAGGATGGGTGGTCTGAACCATAGGTAAAACTCTGGAAGAATCTCGGACGTGGTCATGGAAATGAGTCCAACTCAAAAGTGTATCATTCGGCTGGGGATATAGCTCAGTGGCATAAGCGCCTGCCTGGCAAGTGCAAGGTCCTGAGTTCAATTCCCTGTACCCCCCCAAAAAAAAAAAAAAAAAAAAAACATAAAAGTACATCGTGCTTTTATCAGCACGAAATTCAAAGCTCGCCAAGATGGTGGTGTTAGTGGTTAGGGTGGTGACCACCCTTTTAGGGAAGTTTCATGGGGGATTTGTGTTGCTGAGGTTCCAGGTTTCCTGGCCCGGATCCTGGGAACACAGGGTGTTAAAATGACCACAATTCATTGGTCAGAACTTAGCATCTGTGCACTTTTGGCATGGATGTTTGTGAAGAGTTCAAACATTTTTAATTGGATTAGATTCCCTCTCATACCCCTCTTTACCTCCTTGGATGCCCAGACATTCAAACACTTCTTACAGCTCCGCCCTCTTTTTGGGATCCCATCGTCCAAGCACGCAAAGCCATGAATCCGTTAATTAATAGTGGCTTTATAGAGACGTAATACACATGCATAAAACCTGTGTTGGAGAAGTATAAAATTCAGTAGACGTCGTGGATATTCACGGAGACATGCAGCCATTCCACCCACCTAGCGGTGGAAAGTTTGTGCCAGCCCAGGAAGAGGTCCCACCCACGAGCACGCTCTCCCCACCCCAGGGACACCCAGGGGCTTTCCTCGAGGTGGATTTTCCCATTCTGCACAGCGCATGTAAATGGAATCATGCAATATGTGGTCTGTGTGAGTGGCTTACTTTCGCTTAGTAAAGGTTTGTGCAAACTGTACCATGTATCACTACTTCCTTCCTTTGATGGCTAAGTAATACTCTTTTTAAAATCTAACTTTCTTAGTACCTGTTTGCAATACATAAAGCTTGTACACATCTTCGGGAGTAAGTGCATGTGCATAACAGCCTTGGTTCTGGTTAATTCCCCTTCTTCCCCACCCATCCACCTCCCTCCATCTCTAGATCCCCTTTTCCTGTTTTCTTTGTTATAATTATTATTATGAGCTCTGTTCACTTCATATGATGCCCGCACTCCTGCGGGTGCTTGGTACACGTACATCACACATCTTAAATCTTTTTATTTCTTCTCCTCTCCCCACTCCTGTCAACCTCATCCTCTTGGACCCTTCCCATTTGAAAAAGATCTGTCTCCCTCTTTCCTTTTATCGGTCCTTTACTTTTCCCTTCGCCTTACTCAGATGAGAGACACCAAATGGTATTGAAGCTTGTGTGTCTGATCTGTTTCCCTTAACATTACATTTTCCAGCCCCGCCGCGCACTCGCTTGTCGCCGGGCCGCACATGTGTTTCTGTTTTGTGTTGTAGCATTTGTTCTGGAAGCTCGTATTTACATTTTAAGTGTATCTGCCGCGACCATGCCCAGGAAGAAGGCGGTGGCGGCGGCCTGGGAGGAGCCGAGCTCGGGCACACCAAGGAGCGCGTCAAACTTGAAGGGTCTAAGTGCAAAGGTCAACTTTTGATTTTTGGGGCAACCAACTGGGACTTGATTGGTCGTAAAGAAGTGCCTAAGCAACAAGCCGCGTACCGAAATCTCGGTCAGAACCTGTGGGGGCCCCACAGATATGGATGCCTGGCGGGGGTCCGGGTGCGGACGGTGGTCTCGGGCTCATGTGCTGCCCACAGCCTCCTCATCACTACTGAAGGGAAGCTGTGGAGCTGGGGGCGGAACGAGAAGGGGCAGCTGGGCCACGGCGACACCAAGAGAGTGGAAGCCCCTAGGCTGATCGAGGGCCTCAGCCACGAAGCCATTGTGCTGGCAGCCTGCGGGCGCAACCACACCCTGGCCCTGACAGAAATGGGCTCCGTGTTCGCTTTTGGTGAGAACAAGATGGGGCAGCTGGGCCTCGGCAACCAGACGGACGCCGTCCCCAGCCCTGCGCAGATGATGTACAACGGCCAGCCAATTACCAAAATGGCCTGC